GTAATAGGCTATCTAGTATTTTCAGTTTTAGTTGAAATTCATTTTGAACTTTGACCGGGTGGCGGTTGAAATCTATTCTCGTTGATTTTAGGATCACCAACAGACCTTTAACGTGTGCAACTTACAAACGGGACAGGTGGAGGATTTCAACCTTGTCTGAAAAGGCTATGTCTGCAATCTTACGTTCCCTAAGATTAGGGGTGTGACTGAAATATAGCAGTAAGAACGAACCAGGACGAAAAGCAAAAAGTGGAATAAAGGATAGGAAAGAGGAGCAAAGAAGGAGCCGTGAATGAGGGCAGAAAGTTGTGATGAAAGCAGATGACAGAATAGGACTAGAGAACAGGAAAGATGGACAAAGGAGAAAATGGTAAGTCAAGAATTGTTTTCGTTACAGGTTTTCGATCCCGGGACCTTTGGCTTTAGAGGCGAACACCGTACTTATAAGCCACAAGAACTACCCTCCATGAAGCCAGTAAGATTGACCGTTGTCATAAAAAAAACTTTCTGAGCAAAGACCTTTCAAGATTACGACTTCTAAATTTTTAAAGACATGCGTTGATACATGAAAGTATTTCAAATCGACACCAGTAATGTTACGAGCCGTAACTGTCTCGCCAAGTAAGTCTGGAGTGTCATGCTATGTTTGTTACCTTCTTTCATTTACAAGGTAATTTTTCTCCAGCTAGCGAAAAGCGCAAAAAAAAACGTTTTAAGTACATGTGGGCTCGCTCATGTTTCCATTTGGTATGCTCCTTAAATTACACTATAATCCTTTCGTCCAGTTGCGCGCGAATTCTTTCGTGGTTGTTTCGCTTAGCATTGTTTTGTTCGTTTGTTTGCCTGTCTTTGCTCAGTTCACTCTGACCTATTTGTTTGAGCTTTTAGAGAGAAAAAAGAAAAGGGCGGAGTGTCATGATTTGTTCCTTTCCTTTTCACTCTGGTTCTTGCATGTGCAAAGTGCATTATAAAGATTGCAGCGGGTAGAGAGTGAATTCAAAGTTTTTTAAACATCTTAACTTGTGTTCACGTTTGAGCGTGAAGAATAGGAAATGTAAATAGTGCTTCCCCAGATAGCAACAATCTGCATTCTCCTTTCTCTGCAATCATGTGTGTGTGTATAGGCAAAGTAGATAATATCACTCTGTTACCTTCACTAATTTTTTTTCTTTTTGAATGTAGCTTCTGTCTAAGGAAGCGGGAAGTTTTAATTCACAGTTGCTGTTTCATTCAGTTTTCCGTTTCAGCCAAAACCAATGTGTCGTTTACTGGGGCTCGGGTATAGTGGGACGGGGGGGGG